TTTTTCCAAACCTCTCTGAGGTGCCACAAAATTTCGCAAAAATATTCTGACTTTGCCGCACAAGGGTTAAACAGAATAAATGCAATGGAAAAGAAAAATTTCATCCCAGAGAGAATTTCATTGTAAACAACCAATATAATGTGGGAAGAGAACCCTACATGAGACCACAACAAATTCTTTATACACAAAAATTCACTGTAGGCAAAAAACTGCAGACAGTTGATCTTAATCCAATTTCAAAAACCAAAGAGAAATTTTCAACCTCCCACAGCCAATACACAAAACATGGATTGAATTTTCAAAACACACAGGATTCTCAACTTCCTAAAAATGACCCTTTCCCAAATCTTAGAGGACCGTGAAAAAAAATTAGCTTCATCATATGATTTCTCCTCAAACATTTTCCCTAAATTGTTTATTCAATTAAAATTTATTTGGGAACAGGCTACTGAACACCCTGTGCTTTAATTTGTACTCAGTAGTGGCCTTGTGCTGGGGTTTTTCAACATAAAAAAAAACTCATGCATCTTCAATATTCATGCATTTGTTTGTACTGTAATGTATTTCCTTTTAATAATGTGAATTAGTTTTTCCTTTTAATTTGCTGGTAATAATGTGTTTGAATGGGTGTTTGTAGGGTGGGCTTGGGGGTTGAGGGAAACTTTTGTTGAACCTTGAGTACTTTGACAAGAAGCAAATGTACCTTGCATATCAATCAAAAAACATGGGCTGGAGATTATTAGAAAGTGAGAGATGAATAAAATGTAGAGCTCTCTTGGATGTGCTCAGAAAATCCCTCAACCTCATTTCCCTCTTTTCAAAACTTATGAATAATAACCTACTTCCAAACGGTTTTGAAAAGGTTGGAAAATTGTTTTGCAGTAATAAGAGACAGAATACAATTAATGGAAAATACTAGTTCCAAGCACACACATCTGTAAATATTAAAAAATTACAGCAAAAATATAGTAACATTTTTTATTTTTATTCAGTTAGTGTACTCGGGGGTTTCAACTTAGAGAGAGGGAGAAATAACACTACACGAAGAGTAGGAGGAAGAATAGGTCGTAGCCAAAACGGGCTTCGTGGTCCCTGAACTTCATGTACATACCATTTGCAATTCATATATCCCATCCCCGAACTCTCTCAAGTTTGGGGACAACATCCAGCCTCTCACCCACATCACCTGCATCCAGCCCAGCACGTGATGCCATGCGGAAATAAGTTCAGCACGTGATGGCATAGAACATTTCCTACGGGGGGCGTCTCTTCTTGGTCCCAAAAATCCTTCACAGCGGTTCAGCTCAGACTCGGCTCCTCTCAAACTTCGCCGCAGGGCATCCATTTTTTTTTGCGTGCGTCTTCTGATCTTATGTTTCCCTTATATATATATATATATGAGGGTTGTCCCAGTTGAAAGCGACGTCTGAAAATTTTTAGAGCGAGTGTGATTGTAAAAAAAAAAATCATTTCAAAGCTCATGATGTCCCAAGGTTCTGGGATTTATTTTTCTCGAATTTTTTGAAAAAGTTTTTCAATTTACTGCCTGATGATAACTGAAACCTTCCCGGTTAATCCCAGAGTTATCCACCCGTGTCACAGTGTTCTATCAAATTGTCAGGTTAGCTAAAAAAAATTTTGGATTTCGTTGTTTCAACCATTAGCTAAAATGTGGAAAAGTTAATGGGTGAAACATGAAAAATTTCAACTTTTAGCTGTCCTAACAAATTTTTTAGCTTCCTCCGACGTGAGTGGTGAACTCTGGCTGAACAACGAAAGTTTTCACTCGTCATCACGTAGTGAATTTAAAAAACCTTTTCAAAAACCCGAAAAAAATTCCAGAACCTCATAACGTCATGGGCTATGTCATTAGTATTTTTTTTACAATCCCACGTACCTCTGAAAATATCAGGGGTCGCGTACAACTGGGAGAACCCTCGTATATATTCAACACGTATATCCTGTGCCTCTTGATCTTTCTAAATGTGTGTGTGTTGGATATTTGCAAGTACTGTATATAGTGCTGTACCTTAATTTGTTGTTTGTTTTTTATGCAGTGAAATAAGCAGGAAAAGTTGAGTGAGAACCATGTCCGTGGATGTGATGAAGGGTGAGGTGGCGCGAGAGGTGTCACCGCTGCAAAAGTTTTTACGGCCGTTTGGGAACCCGTGGTAGTCCCTGCTTCTCGCTCTTAGCTCTATACCTATGCAAAAGCGACAGAGTCCGGGACCATCCTTTAACTATGTTCAAAATGTTATAATTCAATTGAGTACCACGTAATCTTTTCAATGTTTTAAAATTAGTAGGGGAAAAAAGGAGGGCGCGCGTCTCAGGTGGGGTATATGCAGTAGAATGTTTAAAAATGTTAGATATTTATGTTTTTAAAAATTCTACATGTGCAACAGACCCTCTGTAATTGCAGAGAACCTCTATAATCACTAAAACGGGGTGCACTTCTTATTTGTGAATAGGTTCTTATCGGAATTTCAGACTGAAAATTCAGGTACCCTATACGCGTCTTACTTGCGGGCAAAAATCGGATTTTAACACAGTATAACAAATTCCATTCAGAAAATTCGCTAATTACACTTGATTCTAAAGGAACATTTTGGACTTATTTTAATAAAAAAAATTTCATGGAAAGGATTAAAAATAGGCTAGTCTCTCTAAAAAAAATGCAGTGTGACTGAACAATTTTTTTGAAGCGATAATTTTCTTGTAGAGAACCTCTATATATAGGATGGGTCGAGGCATCTACATGGAATCAAAAAATAATTATGCAGAGAAAATCATTGCAGACAAACTTGTTGTAAACAAGAGAATCAACCTGTGTTCGACTTTTTGTTCCATAAAAGTTCTCATGTGTACTTTCAAAACATCAGTTGACGCGTATTTTCAAAGTACTGTATCAACATTTTGTAATCACTAAAACGGGGTGCATTTATTATTTGGGGATAGGTTCTTATTGGAATTTTAGACTGAAAATTCAGATATGCGTCTTACTGGCGAGCAAAAACAGTATTTTAACACAAAATACCAAATACCGCTTAAAAAATGGCTAAACTAAATTATGGAGCGTCTCACATTAGTAGACAAAACGCGTGTTGAAATGTCAATTTCTTCCTGTCAGACCAATACAATATTGCTGAATAATGTACGTGAAGTACAGGATTATTGAACATTATACGGTACTGTACAAGTTTTCAATTATTATTTTTTTCAGTCGTCACGGCTGAAAGAATGGCAGGATCAGCTATGTACGAGCTTGTTCGAGTTGGTCATCACGAGCTGGTCGGAGAAATTATTCGTCTTGAAGGGGACATGGCCACAATTCAGGTAAAGAAAACTTCGTTTTTGAATGAATGAACAGAAAGCTTTATTATCTGATTTTCAGCAGCACTCACAAGGTTCAATCAACATTCCCATATCCAAACCCCCTCATCCCCACCCAACCCAAATCCATCCGAACACATTCAATCCCCCCAGAATGAGGAAACAGAGAAATAAGCTGTATATGGATACCAAAATAAAAATAAAATACATTTCACAATGTACAACTGCACAACTGATGTGTATGCATACACCCCCTTCTTTCCCTGACATTGAAAACAAAATCTAATTAACAAGAATTGCAGTATAAGCCAGAATTATGGCAATTGCAGCAGTTACTGAACCCATTTTAAAACACAATAAGAGGTTTTCAGCCTGTTCCCAAATAAGGTTTAGTTGAATGAACAATTTAGAGAGAATCTTTGACAAGAAATCATATAAGGTCAACAGTTTATCATGATCATGTAGGTTTTATTTATATCTGCACAAAATACTAAATTTTTACACATCACGGATGATTAAAGCCTGGCGTTTTAGTTTTCTTACTATGCGACCCCCTTAATGAATCGCTAATCAGAAAAATTGCATTCAAGTTCCATTTTCAGAGGTTTGGAAAAAATGTTCCATCATTTGTTTGAAAATATAAATCCTGATAATTAACGTTTGTTGCAATCAATGCGAATAAACATTCCTCAGATTTGTTCATCCTGAATTGCTGAGTTTCGACTTTTTCCCAGGTGAAATCTGGAATTACCATTTCTATGCCAATAAAACTATTTGCAAACAATTGACTATTAAGTGGTATCACGTCAATAAAGAGACAGATGATGCATACTTTTTTGAGCTTTTGGGTTCGTGATATAAATCTTGAAGAAGATTATTAAAATATCCACTCTGAAATCGCAGATCATTTCAAAAATGAAAAGAAGGAAAAAAATCTCAAATTGTTTTAAAAGTATAATTTCTGATTTTCTAACCTTTGGTCGACAATATCCGTCCATAAATTATTCATGGTAAACAATTCGCATGGGTGTTATAAAGTGCCGAAAGCATGATATAATGTGAAATTTAAAAAAATTATATAATCATGCAAATCCTCCCGACTTGTGTCAATAATCTGGGTTGAATGTAGATCGTTATCTGCCAGAAAAATACCTTAGTCGTAGCTATTCTTTTGTTTTTCACCGGCAATTACTTTGTAATAAATGGTCTGCTCAATCTTTGTACAACAAAATTCAAGGGACCAGATAAAAATTTGTTGCAGAGAAAATTTCGTTGTAGAGAACCCCTGTGTAACATGGGGAGAGAACCCTATGTACTTATGAGACCACAAACATTTTGTTATTATCATCAAAAAATCGTTCTACAGCAGAGAGTTCACCATCCAGTATTTGATCAGGATTCTTCAAACAAAAATATCATTGGAAGAATGTATTCCGGATTTTCTGTGATGATCCTTTCTATTCACGTTTCTGAACGGTTTCAGGTGTACGAAGAAACTTCCGGAGTGACGGTCGGAGATCCGGTGCTCCGAACCGGAAGCCCATTGTCTGTCGAACTGGGCCCTGGTATCATGGGGGCCATTTTCGACGGAATTCAGCGACCATTGAAGGACATTTGCGACATTGTCGACAGCATTTACATCCCGAAAGGAATCAACGTGCCTTGCTTGTCTCGGGATCTTAATTGGGAATTCCAGCCTTCCAAGCTGAGAGTGAGTCCAATAAGTCAGAGGCAATCATCAAAAAAATTAAATTTGTGTATAGTACTGCAGTCAATTTCATATTTCAGTTAAAAATAAAATTTCAAAAAAGCCAGACTCAAACTGCTTAACTTGATTCACGTTTCATTAATTTGAATTTAATTTCAAATCTGATGACCATTACCATTATTTTATGCGATCAGTGAATCAAAAACTCCAAAGGAAAAAAAAATTCAAAGTTTGTTCATTAAAATTGATTTGAAATAAGCCAAAGCCCAATGATGCATTTCTTCTATAAAATGTTCAAAAATTTTAATGGTACAGAAATGCAAAATTAAAACGTTGAATTGTCAATTTTTATTTTTAAAAAAAGTTAAATTGACAAATAACAGAGCCACGAAATTGAGGCATAACAAATTAAATCAGTCCCATTCGTAAATCGACTCACAAAATTTTTTCTCGTCCTCCCAACAAAATAGGATTAAATTAATTATAAGTGCAGTAATCAATCTTATAATTTTTGAACCATGACGTTCAATGAACCAAGCACACGACGCAATGGAAAAATTATTGGCTTGGGTGCGTAACTTTTACATTGTTTCGCATTGGGATGATATATGTAAGACGTAATTAATGTATTTACCACGTTAAGAGCATGTGTGCACGCTATAATACATTGTGAGCAATGAAAACAAAAATCGGCATATTGCAACATTCCCGAATCGATTCGATAAAGAAGTTAAAATGCTGTTTTTATATTCGAAACCCATGAACAAATTTATAAAAGTCAGTTCAAATTTTTAAAAATTCCTTTCCAATGATGTGAATTTATTTGTCAACAACGGAAATTTAAGAAAATACAGTAATGCCATTTTTTGAGACCCTCGCCGTAAACTCAAATAAAATTGCCTCGCCTTGGATAATATTCAAGAAGTGTATTCGAACTGCATACGAATATTGTATAATAAATCATCACCGTGGATCACTGTAAATTGATCATAATATCACTATCTAAAATTTAAAATAGTATGGCATGCACTGGAAAGAGTTTAATTGTGTACTTTTTTTTAGCACAGGTGCACGTTTCTTTCCTTCGCAAAACTTGGTATGCATATATCTTCGTTTTCTTTCTCTCAAAAATAGATTGGAAGTCACGTCACGGGTGGCGACATTTTCGGCTTGGTCCAGGAGAACACTTTGATCAAGCACAAGGTCATGTTGCCACCGCGTGCCAAGGGTACCATCACTTACATGGCACCTCCAGGCAACTACACCACCAACGACGTGCTGCTCGAAACTGATTTCCACGGCGAAATGTTGTTTATGTGGTACGACGTTTAAACCGGTCACGCTGTTGGAGCAGGTCACCGACTTTTTTAGGGGCGGTTAGTAGGGGACGAGTGACCCGTTGCTCAGTAGCTGCGAGAAAAGGGCATGCAAAGTTTTTTTTTTTCAAGCCAACTTTCTAATTATTCTCCTTCCAGCGGTATATGACATGGCCGAAGCACTGAATACGAGAAAGCTTTTTATACCCGCATTTATGTGAAGTGCCCAAAGAACCCTTGAGGTCGCACTCCGAAGTGCAAAAAATTTGTATCAATTTGAAAAACGGCGAAATCTTACCCATCAGCTTGGACAAAATTCCAAAGTCAAGAATTAATACAATTCAAACGAATTTCCGTGTCCAATTGTAGTAATCACGTTGAATTTATTTGTCAACAACAGCTATTGAAGAAACTGCAGTAACAATGCCATTTTTTTGTGACCCACGCCGTAAACTCAAATAAAATTGCCTCGCCTTGGATAATGTTCAAGAAGTATATTCAAACTGCATACGAACGTTGTATGATTAATTCAGAGGCAACATATTTTTAAGTACTTTATTGCACTTCATAATATGATGAAAACGAGGCCATTTAATATGGAAAAACGTTTAGAATGTTCCTATAAAACAATTTGCAGAGGAATCTCAGCATCAGCATCAAAATCCTCCACAAAAGTATATTATACTTTTTTTTTACAACAAAGCCATCTTTGGGATCAGTGAAACAGTTTATATAAAGAAAACTTTGTTATAAAGGAACTTATTGAGAATTACGTAAAGCTTTTGCACAGCGTCCGAAGACATGACTTCTTTATGATCGATTTTTCCTTATAACGAGATTATTTGTAAGGAGATGCTACAGTAATCGTATTCAATCTAAAAATTCTGCGCGCAGTTCAGTGCATCATCAGGAATCTGATAGATTATTAAAGCATGAACATCTTTTGGAAAAGTACATCGAGTTGTCAGCCTTCTTGAATACGTTTCGAGGCGCTTACTAATTAATTGCCTTTTTATAGATGGACTCTGTATATAATACAGTACATCAGAACAACGACCCTAAAAATAAGAAAAAAATATTTCGTCGGATACAGATAGATTTTTGGATTAATTTCATTATAAATATCCATTCCACCGCCAGAAAACAAACATCGCCGTAATATCTTTAAATCTTTGCATTTAATTTTTGACCGTCCTCAAAGTAAAAAAAAATAAAAACAAACAAATTTTTCGTCTATACAATCTTTATTTTCTCCATTTTCGTGGGAATGACTTTTGGGAATGCCAATAATATGACAGGTGCGTGCAAGGAGGTACCACAGCCATCCCGGGGGCTTTCGGCTGTGGCAAGACTGTGATCTCGCAGTCCCTGTCCAAGTACTCCAACTCCGACGTCATCGTCTACGTGGGGTGCGGGGAACGAGGCAATGAAATGGCGGAGGTCTTGCGAGATTTCCCCGAACTCTCCGTGGAAATCGACGGGAAAGTCGAGTCCATCATGAAGAGAACTGCCTTGGTGGCCAACACGTCCAACATGCCCGTGGCTGCTCGAGAAGCCTCCATTTACACTGGTAAGTATAGGTATATACTGTACGACGGTTCTAACAAAAGTTCTCGGAATAGGAATTAAAATTCGCGAACAATCGAGCTGAAAAAAAAAGTATTCTTCAGGGAAAACATATTCTTTGGCACACACAAAAAAATCAGCCCTGTTTGACAAATTTTGGTTGTTAAATGTTTTGCAAAATTCACACTGGCAGAGTTTTGCTCTCCACTCAAAAGATGAGGCGCCCTTCCTGCAGTTTTTGTTGCTGTTTGTAGTCCAGCTTTCCCGTCGGAATATTCTTGAAATCAACGTGGCATTAATTCCAAGGGTTGCCTCCAGGTCTTCCGAGGCATTTTCATCAACAGTCGTCACTTTGGCGACTATGAAGGCGGTTTTCCCTAAAGAATACTTTATTTCAGCTCGATTGTGCGCCATTTTAATTCCTATATACCGACGACTTTTGTTAGAACCCTCGTATGTAAAGCAAGATTAACGATGAGGAAGATAAGGAATTGTGCATATACAGAAAAACCCCGTCTTCGTCGATAAGCTGCCAATTTATTCGGCAACTGCCAATTGATTTTGAAAAGAAAATTTTTATAAAAGCTTCGGAACCCCGTTAAAAATGGGGGTATCCAAATTACCAACTATCATCTGCAGTTAAGATATCTGAGAATGACAAAGTCTTGAAATAATGAAACCAGAAAACAAGTTTAAATTAGTCCAAATACTCAAATCAGGTCTTACATTCCCTAAAGTAATTGAAAAAAAAATCCCCAAGTTTTCTGTTTTTATTTTTATGATGAATTTATATACGTATTCATATTTTTGAAAATCAGGCATCACCCTGTCGGAATACTTCCGAGACATGGGCTACAACGTGTCCATGATGGCCGACTCGACGTCGCGTTGGGCCGAGGCCCTCCGAGAAATCTCGGGTCGTCTGGCAGAAATGCCCGCCGATTCCGGGTACCCGGCCTACTTGGGTGCCCGTCTGGCCAGCTTCTACGAAAGAGCAGGAAAAGTGCGGTGCATCGGCAACCCGGAACGCGAGGGTTCCGTGTCAATCGTGGGCGCCGTGTCGCCGCCCGGAGGCGATTTCTCCGACCCTGAGTGTAGGCGGTGGGACCCATAGCAGGTTCACAAAACCCCTGACCTGTTTTTCGACCGGGTCGCCTTTGTGAAGGGCAGAGAGTTGACCGAGTAAAGGATGTCCACAGCGTTAGTTTAGGAATTTTTTATATATATATATATATATATATATATTTATTTATTTATATTTATACAGTAGCTTATTCTGACGTACCTCGGATTATGGACTTACAATAATCCGGACTTCAATATTCCAAAAAAAGGATAATGTACTATTATTATCAAAAAATTTTCATTAATTTGAAACTGTATGAAATGTCTAATTTCTGGTTCTGCAATCTCCCCAATAAATAAGAAGGCGCCTGAAAGAGTTGCATGAATTTTTTTTTAAACACTTGAAATACAGTACTGTATTTGATATTTGACTACGAAATCCCCTTCATAAACTACTGCAATTCCGAAATTGGCGAGTTCAAATTCGTTGGCATAAAAATACTGTGTGACAAATTACTTTCCCGTCTCTCAACTGGATCATTTCCTATACAGGTGTCGAAATCATCCACTAAAAAACAGAGCTTCCGGTGTGCCTCGGATTATTGACTTTAAATATCCCAAAAATAAGGGGATTCTCCTGTTATATTATAAAATGTGTCTGTTATTTGAAGCTCCATTGAACGACGAATTATTTCTGCACCATACACTGCACTACACTTGGTCTGAAGTGCCAAAACGTACATTTTGACCTTGTCAACTTCAACTTCCGGAATTAAAGATACTACATGACTAATTTGCATTTCTAGTTCATCTCTGGGCTAATATAGGTTTTCTGAAGTCCAAAATGCAAGTTAAACCTCCCGAACTTGAAACGTTTTGGGCCAATTTTTCCGTCAGAAAAAAAATTTCAAGGCGTTGTCAACTGNCCCTGTCCAAGTACTCCAACTCCGACGTCATCGTCTACGTGGGGTGCGGGGAACGAGGCAATGAAATGGCGGAGGTCTTGCGAGATTTCCCCGAACTCTCCGTGGAAATCGACGGGAAAGTCGAGTCCATCATGAAGAGAACTGCCTTGGTGGCCAACACGTCCAACATGCCCGTGGCTGCTCGAGAAGCCTCCATTTACACTGGTAAGTATAGGTATATACTGTACGACGGTTCTAACAAAAGTTCTCGGAATAGGAATTCAAAATGGTGCACAATGAGCTGAAAAAAACAATTATTCTTCAGGGAAAACATATCCTTTGGCACATAGAAAAATATCAGCCCGGTTTGACAATTTTTTTTGAAATTTTTTCATAATTCACCCTGGTAGAGTTTTGCTCTCCACTCAAAAGATGAGGCGCCCTTTTTTTTGTTGTAGCACAGCTTTCCCCTCAGAATTTTAAAAATCAACTTGGCATTCTTTCTAAGGGTTGCTGCCAGGTCATCCAAGGCAATTCCGCCATTTTCATCAACAGCCGCCTTCACAGCCGCCACATTGGCCGCCACTCTGGCGGCTGTGAAGGCGGCTGTCAATGAAAATGGCGGTCTTGAAATAATGAAACCAGAAAACAAGTTTAAATTAGTCCAATTGCACAAATCAGGTCTTACGTTCCCTAAAGTAATTGAAAAAAATTCCTAAGTTTTCTGTTTTTATTTTTATGATGAATTTATATACGTATTCATATTTTTGAAAATCAGGCATCACCCTGTCGGAATACTTCCGAGACATGGGCTACAACGTGTCCATGATGGCCGACTCGACGTCGCGTTGGGCCGAGGCCCTCCGAGAAATCTCGGGTCGTCTGGCAGAAATGCCCGCCGATTCCGGGTACCCGGCCTACTTGGGTGCCCGTCTGGCCAGCTTCTACGAAAGAGCAGGAAAAGTGCGGTGCATCGGCAACCCGGAACGCGAGGGTTCCGTGTCAATCGTGGGCGCCGTGTCGCCGCCCGGAGGCGATTTCTCCGACCCTGTCACATCCGCCACCCTGGGTATCGTCCAAGTGTTTTGGGGACTGGACAAAAAGCTGGCCCAGCGGAAACACTTCCCGTCTCTCAACTGGCTCATTTCCTACAGGTGTCGCAATCAAATCCTTAAAAAAAAAATATGTATATATATATATACAGTATATATATATATATATATATATTTATACAGTAGCTTATTCTGACGTACCTCGGATTATGGACTTACAATAATCCGGACTTCAACATTCCAAAAAAAGAATAATGCACTATCATTATCAAAAATTTTTCATTAATTCGAAACCGCATGAAATGTCTAATTTCTGGTTCTGCAATCTCCCCAATAAATAAGAAGGCGCCTGAAAGAGTTGCATGAATTTTTTTTGAAACACTTGGTCTGCAGTAATGTATTTGATATTAGACTACGAAATCCCCTTCATAAACTACTTCAATTCAGAAATTGGCGAGTTCAAATTCGTTGGCATAAAAATACTGTTGGTTAAATTACTTTCCCGTCTCTCAACTGGATCATTTCCTACAGGTGTCGAAATCATCCACTAAAAAAAAGAGCTTCCGGTGTGCCTCGGATTATTGACTTTTAATATTCCAAAAATAAGGGGATTCTCCTGTTATATTATAAAATGTGTCTATTATTTGAAGCTCCATTGAACGACGAATTATTTCTGCACTACACTGTGCTACACTTGGTCTGAAGTGCCGGAACGTACATTTTGACCTTGTCAACTTCAACTTCCGGAATTAAAGATACTACTGACTAATTTGAATTTCTAGTTCATCTCTGGGCTAATATAGGTTTTCTGAAGTCCAAAATGCAAGTTAAACCTCCCGAACTTGAAACGTTTTGGGCCAATTTTTCCGTCAGAAAAAAAATTTCAAGGCGTTGTCAACTGATGATGGAAACTGTATCCCGCGATGTTGAAACTGATTGAATAATTTCTCCGTTGGAATTTTTCGAATGACCCCTTGTTATTATAGTCTCTTATGTGTTAACTTCGCCCTGTTTCTCAACAGTGGTGAAGTGGTCGAAGTTGCTCAACCAGCCAAAAGAGAAAGAGAGAGAGAGAGAGAGATTTTACGGTTATCCCATCTGATGACATTCTGGAAGCTCAAAACGCAGATACTATTAATTCAAAATATTCATCAGAATATCATACAGCTGTTTTTTTTTGTTTTTTTGGTAATGCTTAAAAAACTGTGGAAAATATTTGTGCGTGAAATTCGAAGTTCAAACGCAAACTTTTCGTTTTTTCTGAACGGCTTATTTCTGCATTGCACATGACTTGATTTTATACAGTTGAACCGTCCTGTATTAAGTCGAACCTCCCCAAGTTGAAAACATTTCGATGTCAACTTTTCGTTTAGCCCCTGTCTGAATTCCCTCAAGTACAAAGTATTTTTCTGCAGTACAAAACTTTACTAACTCGAAGACTCCTCTTCCAATCTCTATAACTCAAATTTCAAAAGGCCGTTCGGGATATTTTTCCAGGACTGAAGAAGAAGAAAAGGAATAAAATGTAACTTCGCAATTTTCGAAGGATAGCGAGTGACGGATTAAAAAAAAAATGAACTTCCGCTTGCTAATTTATCCACCAGTTTAAAGTCCAGGAATTCCAGGACTGAAGAAGAAGAAAAGGAATAAAATGTAACTTCGCAATTTTCGAAGGATAGCGAGTGACGGATTAAAAAAAAAAATGAACTTCCGCTTGCTAATTTATCCACCAGTTTAAAGTCCAGGAAGTCACAAATTTAACCTTCTTGAAATTCTTATTAATTTTCCACCGACTAGAAAAAAACTCCGTAAATTTTTTTGCGTCCCTCCGAGTTCGACAAAAAAATATTTAAACTTAATTGCAAAATTTTCAAACCTGTTCTCACTATTTCGAGGTAGCATCACAGGGATGCAATTTTAAAGCGGAAAAAACGCAGAATTTAATTTCTGAGTAAAAGTAAATTTTGAACATCATTTTACAGACTGGTTGTTCAGTGCCGCTAATTACCTCGGTGTTACAATTGCACATCCTCGTAAAGCCCCCAGTGAAATATCACGAAGTGGAAATAAAGCATTCAACGAAGTTGCAGGACATTTTCTCAGCATTGTACGAAAGTAATTGCTCAAGACCGTAGGAAAACGTGATGAAAATTTCGTTCGCAGCGAGCAAATTAGAAGAACAGCCCTTGTATAATCTTCCGATTTGACACTTTTTCCCGGAATTCGTAATTCTTCCGGATTGCTAAAATTAAAAAAGAACCGGAAAGGCAGAAAATACACAGAGCGCGAAATCATTAAAATATTACACAAGATGCTATAACTTAAAAAAAATAACTCGGACTTTAAAAAACTGGTTCTCGGATAAAATCGATTTCTCATACCCATTCATAATAATGGCGTTCATAATATTATGTTCTAGTTGAATTCTATGTGAAATAATCAGGCAGTTCGTTTCACTGTGTCGAAGATTATTCTGTAATTCAATAATTGTTACGCATTTTGATCCACTTTCCGATTTCTCACAAAAGTTTATCGCATGCTGATCAGTTAATATTCCTTCTAATATTTACCAAATACTGTATATCTTTGAACATTTTTAAAAATATGATGAGGGATCGACCGACAAATTTTGGCGTGTTTCAGAATTGATAGTTTTTATACAAATCTCTGACCTCGGAAGATGATATCGCTCAATAATTTTAAAACTGTGAACTGTCCTACCCTAAAAATGAAAACAGCTCCAATTCTTGTCTATAAGCATTGAAAATGAGACGACGACAAAATTGAGGATAAAATTTAAAAAAAATTCAAAAACCCGCATGAAACAAAAACGAAGAACCCAAAACTATGAACCAAAGATTCCGTAAAATGAATTTCATAGTTTGAGGCAGAGTTTATTTTAGCTTGAATGCAACAGGTCAACGATGATGGATATCTTGTACAACGAATGAATATACGTGTATTTTCAGCAAATACACCCGTGCTTTGGACGACTTTTACGACAAGAACTACCCGGACTTTGTTCCCTACCGCACCAAGGTCAAGTCCATTCTGCAAGAGGAAGAAGATCTTGCTGAAATTGTGCAGCTTGTCGGCAAAGCGTCTTTGGCAGAGGCGGACAAAGTCACTTTGGAAGTTGCCAAGCTGATCAAGGACGATTTCCTTCAGCAGAACGGGTTTGTGTCTGCATATACTTTTGTTTTTCTCCCGGATTAAGTGCCAAAATTTTAAAATACTAGCATTTTGCATTCCTTCAAATTCTGGGCGTACATATTATATGAGATCAAGACCAAAAACGAAACATTTTGGATGAAGTTAGTCGAGATTTGAAATTTTTCGAATAGATTTTTAAATTTCGTCGAGTCACATTAGGAAGATCAGGTTATTTTTCTACTTAATCGAGTACCACATGCCGTTGAGAATAAAATGTATATTTACACTATTTTTAATTTTCAGGAAAAATGTTTCATAAAATCGTAGCTCAATTTTAAGATCTGCAACAGTCTTTTCGTGACTGAAAAATTGATGGATTGAATCATCTCGTGAAATTTGAGCTTTTGAATTGAATATTGAACCTATATTGTATTACTTTTTTATTCATTTCTTAAATTGATCAAATATTTTCATAAGTGACTCGAGTATGATACATCTCACCTCCCCCTTTTTTTCTCCTCTTGATTAAAAAATTTTTTTTAGGGTACATAATAAGTAAAAAAAAAAGTATATGTGCTCTTTTACGCTCTTGCTCTTTGACACATAAATATGCTTCTTCGTCCACATGCTGCTTTGTGATTTTTTCTCTCTCTCTTTTTTTACTTTTGTGTGGATTGGCTTGCTTTTTGATATTTTTCATTGAACATTTTCTTTTAATACCTCATCTTTTATTTTAAGCATTGCCCTTTGAATCATACTTCTTCTGATGCTCATTCATGCACGTGCTTTTTGAGCCCTTGACCATTATTTGAAATTGTTCCTTGTGAATTGTTTTCCACGCCTTGCTTAGTTTGTTTGTCATGGTTTTATAATCTATCTCTTGATAATCTGCTCTTCTGTACGCTTGCTCTTTGACGTAAAATAATTTCTGCACTTATTGCTCTTTCGAGAAATTCAACTCATTTGGATTTTTTCTCTCGTTTTTTGATACCTATTGTTTTTTTTGCTACGTTTTCTTTCATATCTGATTTTCTGCTTATGCTCTGTGATATTTGCTCCTTGTGCCTGCTAATTTTTTTTTTCGCTTAACAACCGATTTTTCTTCGCAGTTATTCGGCGTATGACAGATTTTGTCCCTTCTACAAGACCGTGGGAATGATCAAGAACATCGTGGCATTCTACGACCTGGCCAGACACGCAGTGGAGTCCACGTCTCAAAACGAGAACAAGATCACGTGGAACATGATCAGGGAATCCCTGGGCAACATCCTGTACCAACTCTCGTCCATGAAATTCAAGGATCCCGTCAAAGACGGCGAGCAGAAAATCAAGGCAGACTACGACGAACTGAACGAGCAAATGCAACAAGCCTTCCGGAATTTGGAGGACATGTGAGAGAGGGGAAAAAACGGCACGGGAATATTTATGTTACCAAAACCGAAATTCATCCATTTCACACGTATAAAAACTTCCGGTTCTTTTTTTTTTTTTCTTCTCCCCCGATCCATCAATACGCGACGAGTCCAGCATTCATAGCAAAAAAAAAACTTTTCCGAGCCTCAGACAACGAAGTGTCGTATTTTTTTTGCGGCGAATTTAGTGCAATATATTGTGGGATGAAATTAACAACATGATTCTGACCCATGCAACTTCACATTGGACTTGACTTTGTTTCCTTATACGTGATTCACAGTACAGTGGCCCCCGCCTAACAGACCTCCCGTGGAAGGGATTTTCACCAAACAGACCAGCTCTGCAAGCAGTTTTTCCTCCCGCCCAACAGACAAAATCCGCCAAACAGATTTCTTTTGGTTTAAAATTAGTGTTAAAATTTGAAATTTTCAGTTTTTTATGCAATTGAATTTGTGTAAAGGACTTTTTGTCCAACAGACTTGTCCCTTGCACAAATCAAGTCAGTTAGACGGGGTTGACTGTATATTAACTAAAAAAAAATCTGCTCAGCATCAGTACAGGATGAATTACAGTACAGTACATGAATAATTTACTCAACTGGATAAAAAATATCTCTACCAAGTGAAAAAAAAATAATAATGCTAGTAACTGGGACAAATAAAAAATGTACACAGGTACACTTTCAATTTTAAAATAATGTTTAAATAATTCTGTATTCATTTGTAAATCAGACATCATGTTCCGGTCTAGACTTCTTTGACTCGATCTGTATTATTTTACAGAGTAAAACAGCAAAATATTCCAGCAGGCCTCGACCAGGACAAGTTTTAGTGCATGATTTAATGTGTGTCATTTATTCTACGCATTCTTGGATATTATATGCAGTAAGACATGTACTCAAGAATGTATGACACGTGAATTTGGGTATTTTAAAAATTATGCCTGCAGAAAAACTTGAACTCCAGTTTTCAGTGAAAAACAGTGTTCAAACTCAATGAATTCAGAAGCCCAAGTTATTCCTGAACTTATATAGGAATAAATGAAAAGTATTTACTTCGCTTTTGTTTCATTTTGTTCTGTATATTTTAATGTGATTTCAGTACGAGGTCCAGTAACATTTTGAAAAATTCAGGAAAAAGGTTTTATACAGGAATACAAAGCTGAACAATATGTATACTAATTTTTGGATAAAGTTACCAGATGGAATACTCTTGTAGATAAAATACTGCTGTGCATTCACAAAAAGGATAGAAGTAGAACCGCGTTACAGCATAGATCTCGTTATAACGAATAATCAATGACATTTAAGAGTTTTTATTAGGTTTTGTATAGCACCCAATAGCCACATTGTTCACAAATTCCCTTGTAAAGAATGTTTCATTATAATGAAGCTATAGTACAGGTCTCAATGGCTTCATTGTAACAATATTTTACTGTAATTTTCGGAATCATTCACCATTGAAATGAAAATTATCAAATTACATTTTCTAAGTTATTTTCACAGGATCATTCAGGTATTCCAAGAGGGGATGCATTTTCTTGTTTCATTTACAAGAGATACTGTACTTCAATAATGTGAATTGGCTTGGCACGGCTTTTCAAATTATATTCGTCTTTCACATTCAGGCAATTTTGCCGTTCATTTTAATTATCAGACAAATCAAGTATTCTGTACCGTAAATTGCTTGTGAATGTTGTGATGCTTTTTTACCGCACATTGAGAAAGCATCTTTAAATTTCATACTGTGATGTGTATTTCTTAATGCAATTCTGAAATCTTTTCGGACACTTTCATTGGCTCGTCGTCCCTTTCATGCGGATAAATGTATGCTACTTAAATAAAGACATGCGTCTTAATTGACAGCGCACATCATTATCTATAAAGGTTTAGTTGAGAAGTTGTCTCTTGATTCAATAAATTTTTTACAGCATGATTTTTCTATTCCCATTAAAAAAAAAAACCGCCACTATATGGACAAGTGTGGGGTAATAACTAGTTCTAATGATAAATAATAATATGAAGACTACTAAAAGACGCGAGGTCATATTTTTCATTGCTTTCTTTAGGATTCTTTTTTTTCTTCTTGAAAGTATAAAACAATATGCTGGAAAAGTTGATGAATTAAGCCGAAACCCAACACGCACTAAATTAATTACTACTAACTAGGCCACCAACGTAACAAAGACAGCAAGCATTCATGAGCAAAGCGAATTTACCATTTCCAAAATAATGCCATGGTTTTCCAATTCAAATTCATTTTTAAAGTCCTTCAACACAGCGAAGCAANTCGCAGTTATTCGGCGTATGACAGATTTTGTCCCTTCTACAAGACCGTGGGAATGATCAAGAACATCGTGGCATTCTACGACCTGGCCAGACACGCAGTGGAGTCCACGTCTCAAAACGAGAACAAGATCACGTGGAACATGATCAGGGAATCCCTGGGCAACATCCTGTACCAACTCTCGTCCATGAAATTCAAGGATCCCGTCAAAGACGGCGAGCAGAAAATCAAGGCAGACTACGACGAACTGAACGAGCAAATGCAACAAGCCTTCCGGAATTTGGAGGACATGTGAGAGAGGGGGAAAAAACGGCACGGGAATATTTATGTTACCAAAACCGAAATTCATCCATTTCACACGTATAAAAACTTCCGGTTCTTTTTTTTTTTGTTCTTCTCCCCCGATCCATCAACGCGACGAGTCCAGCATTCATAGCAAAAAAAAACTTTTCCGAGCCTCAGACAACGAAGTGTCGTATTTTTTTTGCGGCGAATTTAGTGCAATATATTGTGGGATGAAATTAACAACATGATTCTGACCCATGCAACTTCACATTGGACTTGACTTTGTTTCCTTATACGTGATTCACAGTACAGTGGCCCCCGCCTAACAGACCTCCCGTGGAAGGGATTTTCACCAAACAGACCAGCTCTGCAAGCAGTTTTTCCTCCCGCCCAACAGACAAAATCCGCCAAACAGATTTCTTTTGGTTTAAAATTAGTGTTAAAATTTGAAATTTTCAGTTTTTTATGCAATTGAATTTGTGTAAAGGACTTTTTGTCTAACAGACTTGTCCCTTGCACGAATCAAGTCAGTTAGACGGGGTTGACTGTATATTAACTAAAAAAAATCTGCTCAGCATCAGTACAGGATGAATTACAGTACAGTACATGAATAATTTACTCAACTGGATAAAAAATATCTCTACCAAGTGAAAAAAAATAATAATGCTAGTAACTGGGACAAATAAAAGATGTACACAGGTACACTTTCAATTTTAAAATAATGCTTAAATAATTCCGTACTCATTGGTAAATCAGACACCATGTTTCGGTGCAGACTTCTTTGACTCGATCTGTATTATTTTACAGAGTAAAACAGCGAAATATTCCAGCCAGCCTCAGCCTGGACAAGTTTTAGTGCATGATTTAATGTGTGTCATTTATTCTACGCATTCTTGGATATTATATGCAGTAAGGCATGTACTCAAAAATGTATGACACGTGAATTTGGGTTTAAACAAATTATGCCTGCAGAAAAACTTGCACCCCAGTTTTCAGTAAAAACAGTGTTGAAGCTCTATGAATTCAGAATCCTTGAGTTATTCCTGAACTTATATAGGAATAAATGAATAGTATTTACTTCGCTGTTCTTTTATGTTGTTCTGTATATTTTAATGTGATTTCAGTACGAGGTCCAGTAACATTTTGAAAAATTCAGGAAAAAGGTTTTATACTGGAATACAAAACTGAACAATAAGTACACTAACTTTGGGATGGAGTACTCTTGTAGATAAAATACTGCTGTGCATTCACAAAAATGAGAAAAGTAGAACCACGTTACAGTGCATCTCTTTATAACGAATAATCGATGACAAAAAGATTATTTATTAGGTTATGTATAGCACCCAATAGCCACATTGCTCACAAATTCACTTGTATAGAATTTTTCATTGCAATGAAGCTATTTTACTGGCCTCAATGGCTTCATTGTAACAATATTTTAATGTGATTTTCGGAATCATTCAACCACTGAGATGAAAATTATAAAATTGAATTTTCTAATTTAGTAAATTATTTTCACAGGATCATTCAGGTATTCCAAGAGCATTTGCTTGTTTCATTTATAAGAGATGCTTCAATACTGCGAATAAGCTTAGCATGGCTTGTCAAATTAAATGCGTATTTCACATTCAGGTAATTTTTCTGTTCATTTTAATTATCAGAAAAATCAAGTATACTCTGTACCCTACATTGCTTGTGATGCATTTTTACCTCAGATTGAGAAAGCATTTATAAATTTCATACTGTGTTGTGTATTTCTGATTGCAATTCTGGAACCTTTTCGGACACGTTCATTGGCTCTTTGTGCCTTTCACGCGGATAAATGTATGCTACTTATATAAAGACATGCGTCTTAATTGACAGCGCACATCATTATCTATATAAGGGTTTAGTTGAGAAGTTGTCCCTTGATTCAATACATTTTTTTAAAGCATGATTTCTCTATTCCCATGAGAGAGAAAAAAACCGCCACTATGGACAAGTGTGGGGCAATAACTAGTTCTAATGATAAATAATTATATGAAGACTACTAAAAGACGCGAGGTCATATTTTTCATTGCTTTCTTTAGGATTCTTTTTTTCTTGAAAGTATAAAACAATATGCTGGAAAAGTTGATGAATTAAGCCGAAACCCAACACGCACTAAATTAATTACTACTAACTAGGCCACCAACGTAACAAAGACAGCAAGCATTCATGAGCAAAGCGAATTTACCTTTTCCAAAATAATGCCATGGTTTTCCAATTCAAATTCATTTTTAATGTCCTTCAACATAGCGAAGCAAACTTATGCTTTTTTACGCTTATCGCTGAACTTAAAAAACGCGAACTGATAGAAAAAAACCTCATCTTCCCTGTTGTGAATAAACTAACTCCTGGTGATGAAATTGGCAACTTCCTTCGGGGACTTGAACTCTGCTTCAAAGACATCAATGGCTCAAGTTTTCAAATGAGTTGAATGGAATATCCTGACAAAAATGACATCGCAACTATACGCTTATTACCTGGTGGAATCCGGTATTTTCCTCATCCTCATCAAACAATACGGAAGAAAATAAATTGCCTCTTCCACCGCCAGACATCTTACAGGTGGGGTACTCAAACCTCCACCAATAATCAGAAAAGCTCCTCAAAGTTACAGAGCAAAGAGCAAAAATGAGTATTTATAATTTGTCTTTGATGAAAATTGCAAAATTCACAGCAAATTATCACAAAGGCCAAGCCTCTCATGCTCACGAACAAGCGTTATTACATTATTTTGACTACTATTCTTTTGACCCAAGAAAGAGAAAAAATTAAAAAATGTAACTTCATGCTCTCTGAAAGAAACCTAAAGAATAATATTGAAAATGAACCAATGGCTCCAAGTTCCAATCCCTTTCACCGTATGTAGAAAGCAGTTTTGAGCCCAATAAACGAACAAATAATTTCGAATTCCTTAAATTCTTCTTCTCTTCATACAGAAGAAAAGAATGGGAGTTTCCCCAACTCAAAAACTACGGTAGTTGATTTTATCTCTGGTACCTTGGATTTCAACTTGCAGAGATTTTACAGCATTATATGACATAATAATAAACCCACCCAAAAGTACACACAGTGATTGGATCAGTCCTCATCTCCTCAACCTATGGGCCGTGTATCAAATACCCGGCATCCAAAGCAGCAACAACTTCAGGTCCAATAATAAGCTGAAAGACCACATCAATACAGTACTGCTGTAATGGCTTCGGCTTGACGACCCCTCGATATAAGCCTCACCGTATAGCTCCGATAAGATCAAAAACCCTTGCTGAACTATTTCCGCTTCCCGAGAAAGGAACAACCCGGATTGCATGCGCGGCCCTCGTCGAGATTGCAACCACAGCAGCATATAAGCGAACCCGTAATTCCGCGCCGATTGAATCAAGGCACCCATTATACCCTGACCAACGACGGGCGCAGCAGCATCAGAGGCAACTCGTTTCCGTCAGCGTTGCCCAACCTTTTTCTAGACTCATCTCGCCAAGACTGAGCAGGGGTTCTCCCCCATAGGAGGACACACCAAAATAAACCAGTTCAGGACACTGAGAAAGGGAAGAAAAAAAAATTAGGAAAATGCAATAGCCGCCATTAATGATTTCCGTGGGGCGCAGCAAGAAGTTCCGGTTTTCCACAAACAATTGGCCTGGTTCTATATATGGAAACCATTAACGAGAAGCCTTTTGGCATTTGGCGGACAAGTAACAATATTTTTTCAGCAAATGCCATTTGTCTTTTTCTCGAAGGTGGACTCTCTCAGGGCCGGATTAAGCCACATTTTGGCCTGATGCTGCACAAAAAATGGGCCTAATTCTCCTTTGCAATAAAAAAGCATAATTTTTTGAACACCAGCAAGAAATCACTTCAGAAAAATGTTGAGGCCACAAAAGGCTTTTTGAGTGGGAACAGCAGTGACAAATTTTATCCTGTTAGGCAGCGTGGCATGGTTGGAATTGAAATCTTTGATTGAATTTTCTCCTGGCTATGATTCCTTGTCACTGCATCTTCCTGTTTCTGGCCATATTGGACATGATTTCCTTTTTCTATGCAAAATGATCATGGGCTCTCAACTGATTTTCATCTCCTGCATCTGTATCTCCTGCATCTGGTTTCTTCTTCAATGGTTTTTATATGTGCAAGGTGCTGAAATTGATTTCTTGGTGCCTGATTTTTTTCATCATGAAAACTTTTGCCTCTTTCCTGCTTTTGCCAGAGTTTCATAATTGAAAAAAATTTGGATTTCCCAAATTGAGGAATTTTTTCAAATTCTCCAGGGGCCTATTTTTCCTGTGGGCCTAATGCTGCAGCATCAATAGCACCCACCTTAATCCGGCTCTGGACTCTCTCATCCCCAAATAAATTCAAGAAACATGCAAAAAAATTCGTTTTAGAGAACCCGTACAACTTGGGAGGGGAGAACCTAATGAAACTTTAAAAAAAATAATTGATATACAGAGGATATCGTTGTAGAGAGTCTAACAATAGTAAGAGACAACAGGAGTTGGGCGTTGTTTTCGACAGTTTCAATCTGTATAATCGGAAGTTATGTACGCAGTCAATTATAATTCCTGATAAACTCCTGATGCTTCATCACGAAGTTCATTCGTCCGAACACTTGGAAATGATTTTACGAAGACGATTCTATCGCGAAGAAAAATTTTCAATTGCATGATTATCGACGGACACCGGTTTATTCACAAATACATAATTCATCCCTGGACAGCAAACAGCTTTGCAAACTCAATGTGGGACCAGAATCACATACATAAAGGTCCTTCTTTGGGTCTCTACGTACTGCAACCAAATTTCTGATTTTGCAAAAGGTGTCAGAAAGAGATTCTTGACAAGAGAGGAAAGAGAAATTCCTTTTGATTGAGATTTTAATGATAGTGAAATTAGCAACAAATTCAAGGAAATTTAAGCTCTGAAACACGGTGAATACAGAAATAAAACAGCTCAATCAGCCAGGCGGCGGCTGGGACTAAAAAGTACTAGTATAAACTGTTGTATTTTTTTTTTGATAAGAGAGAAAAATACTGTACAGTAGTCACAAATCCAAACAGGACAATTGATAAAGCTTCAAGCTTATTTCAAAACAACAAACGCAAATAAAAATGCTGGACTCTTGCGAGGTCTGCACAATTTGAAGATCAAGACTCGATTGCTTTTTCTGCTGGTTTTCAGCTAACAGGAAGATTATTTCAATGAAGAAAGGAATGCAGAGAGAAATGTCCTTGGTGTTCAAGGATTCATCAAGAATAGAATTTTAGAAGGACAGAACAAATTTTGGGAGGAAGATCATGGGAACTTGAGGTCAACTCTGGTCCCACAAGATTCATCAAGGATTAGCATCTTCTGCTAAACTCTGTAAATCAACTGTTTCTAAACACCCCTTACTTTTATTTTTGACAAAAGGCAGCATACAGTAATTTAATTCCAATGTACCAAAACTTCAAGCATGGTTTCAGAATATTTTTCTCTCTATTCCTCGCACATTTAGTTTCTCAAATTTTAATTAACAGACATCAGTCCAAGTCCATTCTTCAAAATAAATTTTTCCGGGGTGATGATGGGTAGCATCTTGAAAACCCAATGCATTAATTGCTAAGTCCTGCTCTTTATCAAAGCTCTTCCGCCTTAGTGTAAATGGCACAGTCAAGTTACCAAGGCAGCACTGAGAAATTTAAAATAGTGCATCTGGAATACCAAGTTCCACCAAACAATGGCTTCAATGAGTCAGAATAAAATTTCATGAATCTGTACTTCGGTCTCCACAAAAGAACAATTTCATATTCACCTTGATGCCTCCTTGGTTTGCCAAATCACTCACCTATATAGAAATATATCTCCCACATGATCATTTAATTTCCAAATGGGCTACAGCAGTGGGTTCCTGCAAAATTGAACCGATTTTTTTGGTTGGATTTTGTAATTCAAAATTTAAATTATTCATCATTTATACATTATAAAAATGCTTTATACACTTAAAAAATAATCAAAATAATCCTTCACAACGGAATTTGGAATACATTCGAGTAACAATTTATTAGTATCAAATTGAATTAAATCCGGATAAGTTTGATTTATCACACCTCTCTAGCCTTCACGAAATTTCAGGACCACAGGCGCAGCAAAACGTTACCTGTCAGCATTTTTCCGCCGATTTCAAAATGTATTCACACGTCTAAAAAAAAATTTATTTAAAGTTCGATCGTTCTCTGGTCCAGAATTTTCACGAGTCAATCAACTATAGACAGTAGAAATACGCCAGGTTTCTGCGAATGCTGCCTTGAATGTTCAGACAAAAGCACACAGGGCATTCGTACGAAATTCTATACTGTAATTCTTTAGTGACAGAAAAACTATTTTCAACAATAGTTTGGTGCACTGCTTCGCAGAAGCATGAACTCCCAAATGAACTGGGAAAATTGAAGTACAGTACAGCCCAGTTTAGTTTTAGCAGAAGGAAATAATTTCAATGGGAAACGCATTATCCGAGCAGTCTATTGACCCCATGAGAAAAAAATTGTAGGTCAAATACTGCTTGAACCAAGTTGAACATTAGCCATTTTAATGTTTTTTCATTACAACAGAATTTTCAACATTTCCCACCAATAGACACGAGGAATCAACACATTTTCAAGATTCAGTAAAATATTCCAGTTTTCTTTTTAATGATCCTTTGAATGTGTTGGCTTTTTTCTCTATTTCTGCCTACCTTATGAGAAACTAATACCGTAGCACAGTATTTATTTATATTCTTCGGTTTCGTAGTCTTGGACTTCCACCCACGAAATCCATCTGTAAACCCCCAATCTTCTCACTATTCCTAGGAAAGTAGGAAGGAAAACCGTCCAAGGCTGATGCCAGCAAGATCAACCTTGCTTCACTAGAAAATGAATTTAAAGCATTTTGATTCACAGTTAAACCACATAGAAAGTTAGAAAGGCTCTACTCACATCAGTGTCAAACAAAAATATTTAATCTTGATCATTTGCAAAAGTAGATCAAAAAATGTTTCTTGCACGTACATTATTTTCATTGGAAGAACTTATGCTCAATTTTGTGAGAAATTCGTCCCAGATGAATTGACAAAGTTCTTCCAATGAAAATCTTCACTCAGTCTTCCATTCCCAGCATCAAAAGCTATAAGAATCGGTTGCACCATGAATCCACCGTGCGAAAAATGTATCAGATGCTTCCATTGTCCGGAGCACCGAAGCTCAATACAATTTCGCGAAGGAGCTCCTCAATTTATCGCGTTCTTCGTGGGCCAACGCTATATTGGCTCAAGTCAAAAACTGAACACGCGGAAGCACCGAAAACTTCTCCAGTACTGTACTGTCTCTACGTAAAAAGGAATCCCTCAACTTGAAAAAATTTGCAACATCCTCAAAAATGTCCGCGACACCGACTACGCTCATCGACAAGGTTCCACCAAAGATCAAACTTGCCGATTACCCGTCGATGAGAATACCTGGTCACTCAGGTCATTACGCCATCGTTGAACAATTTTTCTCGCTCCCTTCCCGTTGCCCACTCTTAAAAAAACGTCATTCACGAACATATGCTTTCGTCAGACCGTCGAGCGCAAATTAACGAGAATCAAGGTTTTCTCAATGTCAACGCTTGCATTCGACAGTGACCCGCGGGGGGGGGGGGAAGCAATTAATACCGTGGCGCTCGCTCCTGGCCCGGTCTATTTCAAAAACGCGACAGTGTCGAAACCCCGTGCGGACGCCGACGATCCAATAAATGCTCAGGTGGTGACGAACGTCGACATCAGTGCATCCGCCGGCAACGGCGGGTGAAGTTCAATTCACAAGCAAAGTTTTCACCAGTGAGAGTTTAAAAAAAGCAACTGTCACCTCCACGACGGGGTTTGAGTTTCCAAGAAAATATAACGCTCGGTTAAACTTCGCTTGGATCACATTTTCAACGAGACGCTTTCATTTCCGAAAAATGCAAAAGTGACAATCCATCTTTCCGAATCCATAATCACGCAATACAAATACAGTACATCTTCATGAATTTTTAAATACATTAAAAATCAATCTGCTACGAATCAAAATATTGAAAGATAACATGCTGAATTTCTTTCATTGAAATGGTACTTCCCCTTAAGTTTTACTGATTTAATTCGAAGAACCACACCCAAGATGAGCTAAAAAAAATTCGAGATCGGCTTCACTCGACTGATTTTGAATATCGAAAAGAATTTCACGTGAAGAACATAATCAGAAGAAATCTTGATATCTGACTAAGTTCAGAACTGGAAATTGAAATTTTCCTCGAAATTTTACGAAAAACAATTCCGATGAATATTCAATACTCCGTCGCTGAAAATGATCCCCCAAAATAATCAGACTTAGTTAAAAAACATAGCACAGCGATCATCTGCGACTTCGGACAAATTAGAACGGATTGGCACGTTTCTCATTTTAGCTTGGTAACAAATAGATGATAGGGTATCAGAATATAGGATGAACGAATGAAATCTTACTAGAAAAAAAAAAAAACGAACAGGAAACTGACTTCCCTCGAGAAATTAAAAACTTCTTAAAATACAAGTTGATCTTGAAAATTACTCACGAGGCTGACGGAATTGTCGTCATGAATGAAATTTCGTTAAAAAGAAGCTGCATAACTATCGATAGCAAGTCTTCCAAAAAAATTACTAAATTCCTGGATATGTCGAGGGGAAAATCCTCCGGCATTATTTCAATAAATAAATGGTCATTGCAAAGAAGATGGTAACGATCGAAGAAACACGTCAAAAAAATAAATATCGAACCTAATTCGTTGTTCTCTCAAGTCTCAACTAACCGAACTGATTCCTTCTTCACAGATTGTTCATCACGGAAGCCTAGAGTGAAACAAAAAATATTCGCTCAAGCGGTCCGACACTCATCACATAATCCACAAAGTAAGAATGAAGTACGTGCTCGTTCTCGCGCTCGCGGCATGCGTCGCCATCACCACCACGGACGCCAACAAGAAATTCGGCGGCCTGAACCACGGCGGCGGCTTTTCCAGCAGCGGCAGCGGACTTCGCGGCTTGTCTCACAAGGGCTTCGGCGGCGGATTCTCCAGCAGCGGCGGTAGTCTCGGCGGCCTGTCTCTCAAGGGCTATGGCGGTTCCAGCAGCGGCGGTAGCCTAGGCGGCCTGTCCCTTAAGGGTTACGGCGGCTCCAGCAGCGGCGGGAGCCTCGGCGGCCTGTCTCACAAGGGACTCGGCGGCGGTTTCGGCGGTCACAAAGGCATCGGGCTCCGAGGACTACATCGCGGACTGCTCCGGGGATTCCGAGGCCACAAATTCGGCGGCGGACACAGCAGCCACGGATCCTACGGCGGCGGACTTGGGTCCTACGGCGGCGGACTCGGATCCTACGGAGGCGGACACAGTTCCCTCAGTGGACTCAGCAACTTGTCCCTCCTGCTCGCCAAACGCGGAAAGAAGAAGAAGGGCGGCAACACCATCGTCATCCTCAAGCGAAAGGGCGGCAAGAAGAGCAAGAAGGTCGACGTCAAGATTGACGACAGCGTTGAAGCCAATCCGGAAGTCGATGCCAGCCCCAAGGTCGAAGTCGAGGGACCCGAAATCGAAGGACCCGAGGTCGACATCGAAGGACCCGAAATTGAAATCGAACTCGAATTCAACGTACACAACAAGCTCGAAAAGCCGACGGCAGGATGCACGGGATACGGATGCAATTCGTACGATAGGGAGAACAGCGGCGAAAACGAGTCCCAGACTTATGGCACGGACTCCAACGTAGAAGAGACGAAATCATCCTTCCATCGTACTTTCAAGTACGGCGACGAGAGCGCGGATGCGTCCGGTAGTTCCGAAGGCCAACAATCCTGAAATAGTTACAATTTTTTACCCCAAGTCAAATCCAGTGTACCACGTTGTTATTTGTGCGTCATTCATTAAAATCTTTTTTTTCCAATCCCGAAGTTTTATCTTGAGAGGCCAGTTCTCGAAGTTATACACCGAAAAACTGTTTTTTTAATGTGATTTCATTTCTTGTCTTTCGCACAGATAATCGGAATCCACTGACGTTAGCTTGTGTCAGTTCGCGATCCGGTTTCAATCATGAAATTGATAGTTTTAGCCATTGTTCTCTGCGTCGGATTTTCCGATGCCAAGAAGTTCTTTGGTGGAAGTTCATTCGGCGGGGGTTTCGGAAGGGGACACGGAGGCGGTCACAGCATAGGCCACATCGGCCATAGCTTTGGTGGACACGGCCTTTCCAGCAGCTACCAATCGCTCGGGTACGTTTCTTTTATTTTTTCAACATCAAGACCGAATGGGGTGATTTCGTTGTTGAAATTTCCACAACTGAATTTAAAATGATTTTCCTGTACGCCTTCATAGATTGGGATATGGAGGTGGTGGACTCGGCTCATACGGAGGCTCATCGCTTTCGGGATACAATTCAGGCTTGAACTACCTCCCGTTGTTGCTTTCACAAGGCGGCAAGAAGAAGAAGAAGACTGTCGTTGTTGTCCTCAAGAACAAGGGCAAGAAGAAGATCAGGATAGACAAAGACATCAACAGGAAGGTTCACGCAAATCCCGATGTTGAAGCTAACCCCGAAGTCGATGTCGGCGGACCTGACATCGAAGGACCGAAAGTTGACATCGAGGGCCCGGAAATCAAAATCGCGCTGAGATTCAATGTTCACAACCAGCTCAAGAAAAAGGGCGAAGCTACCGAAGTTGTTGTGCCTGAATATCCGTCCAAACCCATCAACATTTACCTCAACGAACAATCAAAGGAGAAGTACGAGACTAACTCATACGGGGCCGAATCTTACCATGGATCCGGAGAAAAGGGAAGCGGCGAACATGAGCAAGGGGAAACTTACTCAGAACCGAAATCGTACAGCAAATACGACGACACGAAATACGGAAGGTACTGAAATCCCACAACAAGCTCGACTTTCCAGTCAAAAAAGTTACCACAGTTGTTTTGTTGTTGAGATCAGTCATCGGTTCTTATGAAAATCACGCGATAATAAAAGAATTTGCGTTTTTTACAACTGCTTCGATTTCCATCATTATGCATCATGAAACACGTTACGACACGCAATCGGAAGCTGAAAAATTTCGAAATTTATAGAAGCCAATAGCGAGACACCGTTGGATTTTGTCATCTAAACCAGTGTTGCTCAAGGAATACAAATCTGATGACGAAACCAGCAGGAACAATAGTTCCGGGTACAAAATTAGGACAGTGATTCAATTACGATACTAATGTATTAGTAATGACGGCATCACGCAGAATTAAAATAGGACAGGCATTCATTCGTAGAACCACAATCGCTTGCAATACCTGTTCATGTTGGATTGGTTACGAAATCTAACCGGTTCTATGCGCAACAGTGCAATTAATTCGTGAAGAACGTCGAAACTTTGCATAAGCTTCGGAACAAGAAAAGACTTATGCAGCGGAAGCAACCGACACACTCACTTGAAATTATCACAGCTGTTGCGAAGACTAGTCATATCTTCGCATTCACGACCGACGTACGCCCATCGGCCTGTGGGCTATCATCAAGTACAACCGCTTCGACAAATACGTCAGCAACACAATCAGCAAAATCCACAGAGGCAACATAACGAATCCCAGATGAAGCTTCCACTCCGGATACTCCAATCTCAGGCACAGTAAGATCTGCAGAAGAAACACATAATATTGCATGTTCTTTCACACACACACAGAAGTTTCTTGAGAAGGAAGCTACCCTAATTATTTCCCTGGCGTTTGATCATTGTGACAAACAAAGAACCATTCTTCGTCAATATTACGGAATAAAAATATTCACCCCGAAGGCAGTCTTCAACAGAAAACAAAATAAATAGACCAGCTTCGTCTGCATCGGCGTCCGATTCCTGTCGTGTCCATTCTTCAGATGCATCACAATGTTGAAAATTACGTATTCGAGGGCAATGACGTCGAAGATCCACATAGGAACGAACACGACAAACCAGTTCCAATCCGTTCGGTGGTCCAAGATGAGTACGAGCATGATGAAAAATAAAAGGATTAAAACCCACACAAACAAAGCTCTGTGCATCACCGCCATCCTGGAATCAACATAAACATCACTGCGAGTATTTCAGGTTCGTCGCGTGCAGGGATCATTGAAACGTTCGTTAACAGCGCTGCAAAATCATTTTTATTCAACGGAAAAAGACGTGATCCAATAAAGCGATGCGGCAAAAGGTATCTTCACAAGACATCACTTCTTTGCAGCGATCTTAATTTTCAGAAGTCCGGCACGCTTTTTAACTCTAATGCGATGCTCGGAAAAAGTATCTTCGGGGGAGAACCGTGCAGGATGCGCGTTAAGGGTTGGCTCTCCTTCTTGATCCTTGGTCATGGTGTACACGCGCTTTCCTTCAGCGTCCAGCGTGTAACGAAGATACATTTCGACGCAGATCACACGACACACACAATGTCACGAATCGTCCTGCAATAAAAGATTGAGAAAGTTCAGCGAATGAAACAATCTCGAGCATTACTTCCTCTAAGCGTCACAATCGCCGCTTTCGGTCAATCCTTCCCTTCGGTGGAACAAGCCAAGATAGAGGCCGACATATTTATTATTCTTGGCGTTTCCTATCAAAGATACGTCAAAGACACCGGATCTGATGGCCGGTAGCATGGGCGAGAGGTCTTGGTTTGTTATAGAAGTCGATTCATTACAATTTGTATCCCTGACGTCTCATACGGTAATTATTGACATCAAGGGTGCAACGAAGTCCTGAATGAACATTATGGGACACCTCGGCCCTACTTATTTGAGTGAACAGTCGCAGTTGACGTCATCAACGTATTCTATACACAACATCACGGAGCAGTAATTTATCTTTCTGAACAGGTGTCACTGCTAGTCTGCGGTTATTACAGTGGGCCCGTACCAAACACGATACAATGCAACACAATCCCCGCTGGGGTCACTCCTTCAGACATTCAATACAGACATTTGATGCAGGGGGACTCACTCTAGAACCATCGCGTCTACAACGGACTTCTCCGTATAACGAATTTTTATCTGGTTCTGTAGGGTTCTCTCTTCATGTCATACTGGTTCTCTACAATGAATTTCTTTTGACAAAGATTTTTTTTCCTGTCCCATATTGAAATTTCGTAATGTAGTGCGAGAGTCCACCTCCGCGCAGCAAATACACCTCCGAGCGAGAGTCCACCTCCGGACATGCAGCAAATACAGCATATGTTAATATTGCTCCTGGGGATCTGAAGGGTATTCATTTGTATATGCTGTATAAATGCTCATGCAGCCTGCAGGAAGAAAATCATCTTATTTTGAATATTTACTCTCGTAATTTATAAAAGAGCTTTACAGTATACAGCAGTACCGTACTCTTATGTACACGCAACTGTCAGTAATACTGTACTGCTGTATATACCGTACCGCGTAATTTTATAGATTATCTCAATCAATTATTAATTTATATACTGCAGTGTAACTTAAAGGGATTTCTTGGAAAACCAGAAATGCGGTAACTGCATGTTTTAGAAAATTAGCTATAAAGCTGCCACATGATGACAAATACGCGAGCACCATGATATTCAATGATTACCTCCAAATAAATAATTTACCGGGTATGAATACTGATGGATAGTAGGGTACTTTAATATTTTGATTTTTCGAAAGACGCTTGACCAACTCTACATATAGAAACGAAGTTGCTTATTCATTTTATGTTTATTCTAGCTTTATCCGCTTGCTGATTCAATGCTGTCTGTGCGAACTCCTTCCTTATTTCTTCCGCTTTGTCGACACGCAAGTGGCCGTGAAATTCGATATTGGGCGACAGACGCGCCACGACACCATTCCACGTCGTCGCGTGGTTCTCGGCAAACATGTCATTTGTGTCACGCGTCGAAGGGAATAAATAAGGTCTTTGTCGAAGACGAATAAGTCAAAAGTACTCTGCCTTTTCCTGTCTCACTCACATACAGTATATAGAGCATAACGCAGTTCAGTATGTGCACGATGCTGCTGCTGCCCATGGTGGCCTTCGTAATGCATTTTGATCCAGACGATACGGAATTTGCTCGATTTTTTCTTGTCATTATACACTGACCGGAATTTCAATTTATGGCTCCAGCATTAACTACTGCCTGGCTTGATTTTTTCTGAGCGTATATATGTATAATGTACGTGCATAACGTTGGGGGTTTCAAGCAAACTCCATCGTCGTTATCGTACTTCTTCAAGGACCACACGCCTTGCAAGGTTTTCAAATGCCCCATTAACAAAATTTCTTACGTAAGATCATTATATGCTGATTGCTAGGCAGTATAAATGGAGCAGAGATGATAAATTTTCAAAGGTTCTTGTATATATTTATGGAAAAAGATTATCAAGTATCCATGGAATGGAATTCCGAATTTTTACGAAGTTCTTGGACGGAAAATGATCCCCCAAATAACTCGAATCCCTAAAATGCAAGGTCCATCTCTTATTTATAAGGTTTTTTGTGCGATGTATACAAGATACATTCTCAAGCTTATGCAATCAGTGTTGAGGAAATAATAATTTCATCAATAGAGTACTGGTTTCCAGCTTTTTGTGCTCGTTATTTTTCTGCGCTCAGAGTTGGTCCTTGATAGCTTGATGAATCTCCCGAAATAAGTGAAAAAAACTCCACATGTAAATTTGTGTTCAGACCCTGTCGGATTTCTCCTGAACACAATATATAAAAAATCTCCATAACTCATAAGACTTCCCCCTCAAATCTTGCTAACTCAAATTTCTGGAGGCTTGTGGGGTATTATTCTGACTACTATACGAAAGAGAACACAATAAACATGTGACTTATTATAATGCTGTTCAAAGATAAATGGGAGACTAATGAGCAAATTAACCCTCGATTCTATCTTCAGAATCCTGTCATCTCATTTAAGAAGCAGTTGAAGGTCCAAAAAATAAAAATAACTGTTTTCCTAACTCAAAACCTCCTCAAGAAAAGTTATTTTTTTACAGGTACTGTTCAACTTACAAGCATTTTTTCTAATACAGTAAAGGCAGAATATAATTAAAATACTGTAGAATTGTAGATCATATCCTTCCATTAAATATCATATTGAGGTATCCCATGTGGAGATTCTAAATACTGTACAGGTGGTGCCTTGCAATTCAACCTCCCGCAATTTGATGGTCAAATATGCTGGGAGGTCAACTTGTAATTCGACCTAGGCCCTGCAATTCAACCCAGAGAGATGGAAAAAAACATCAAATACAACATAGAAAACATTGCATTTGACGTTGGTTTGCAATTTAATCAATTTGAAATTTGACCATAGTCAAGCAATGGATTAGGGTCAAATTGCACGGCATCACCTGCACTTTTATTGCCCATTTTGTTGCATTGAGAGTCTGGTTTTTTTTTTATTCTAAAAATCCCATCAAATGTTCATTCCTTCAACATTGGATAGTTTTCTGCCGACCTGACCAAAGCATTTCCAAACAAATAATTTTCTTTGCAGAAATACAAACTCCCCAAGGCCAAAGTAAAAAAGTTCCTCACGTAAAATACTTTAAATACAAAAGAAGCAGCATCACTTCTAAAATATGTGCAATTCCTCGTCGTGGACGGAATCGATTAGAATATGTTTCTCTTTCGGTCTTACGCAGAAATTCTATACAGGAACACTGAATATAAGCAGCCAGTGATTAATGATGCATCTTCCGCGTAATCGACTTGCTCACTTTGACCTTTACCATGAAACGTTATATTCTCCGTAAGGGCTCGTCTTCGTACCCGGGTTGCGAAAACAATGTCTGATGTATACCAGGAAGCGGCAACAATTCTTCTAATTTAGTTCATGATTCAAATTTCCAGCACAAATGACAAATGTTAGATTGAACGTAATGAGCAGAAACAATTACCCAGGAAATCTTCAGCATGCAGATAAAGCTTACATAATAACGAATCATTTATATTCCACATTTATCCTTTGGTCGGAAGAATGATTTCATTTCGAACATGATTCACAGTTCATGAATTGTGCGTATGGATATTGCGATGACAGGCTTTCTAATACAGTAAGCTAAAGGGGGGGGGGGGGGTATAAAGAACATTGGGACATCAAAATTTCATGTCTTCCGTTCTGAAGGGATTGATTCAATCAGCCTAAAAGGTTTTGCGCCTTATTCGGCTTATTGGCTGGAATAGAATGCACGCGAGAGACAAACGACACGTGATCAATTTTTACAGGACGTGCCTTGAGTCATGCATGTCGAAAAGTATCATCACGGCATGAGATTCTCTCATAAATGGTGGGTTGATCATGGAATTACAGTATCTTGTTTGCTTCAGTACAGTTATATCTAATCAACAAGCGATATATAGCACGCGATGAATAAATGGGCCAATTTAAAAAGTCGAGAGTGAAGTATATCTTTCCAAGATCAATAAAAATAATGTATTATTGAGCTCACAGACCAATATTCACATAGTCGCAGGAAATCAAAATTAGCATGACGGTTAATCAAACATTTTTTTTATACTGCTGGACTCTCTCTACATATCAAAATTCATGGGGTAAAATTGGTGCAGAGATAATTTATTTGTGGGGAGTCCGTGTAACAAAAGGTAAATCAAAAATTTTTATACATGCATATAGAGAAAATTGTTGTAGAGAGAGTCCACTTTACACCTTTCATGATGAGAAAGTGCATGTGTTTGCCTCTTCTGGTTGCACAGAAAATTTTAGTTTGCTGCAAGTAACAATTTCTTGCATGACCATAGCCTGCAATATATTTGAAAAGCGCATGATTTCATGGGGTCAAATGTGCCTTATCCTACTTTTGGGTCTTGAAGTGTTTTTGCTGATGATCTCCAACTTTTCCACAAGTTTCTGCTTCAGCAATTGGCAGAAACAATTACAGTCAACCCCTGCACAACAGACCTCCTGCGCAATGGATTTTTGCACAATGGACTGCCTCTGCATGGAGGCGGTTTTCCCTTGCTTGTAACAGACTAAATCTGCCCAATGACTTCTGTTGGTTTAAAAGTCATGGTAGAAAGTAAAAATTTTCATTTTTTCAACAATTAACCCTTGTGTGGCAAAGTTGGACTTATTTTGCAAAATTTTGTTGCACCTCAGAGAGGTGAAGAAGAAAGTGTCAACAGGGGTTAAGGGCAAAGTTGGGAAAAATCCCAATGTTTTTTTCCCTGGGCACAGAAAATTTTTGCGGGAAAATTTAAAAAATGCTCAGTTAGTCTACCAGCTTTTTTTTCTGATTTATCCCAACTTTGCCTCAGCCCACCTGGAAGGGTTTTCCTGACTTTCAAAATTATGAAAATGCGGGAGGATACAAAAATAATCTGACTCTGTCCCGCTATGGGAAAGAACCCTCTGCTGTCCAAGGGTTAAATTTACATAACAGACTTT